ATTTTTTAATTATTAATAAAGAGCTAGAGGAAAGACCTCACTTTAAAAAAAAAAAAAAAAAAAAAAAAAAAAAAAAATTTAATAATATTTTTATATAAATATAAATCATTTTTTTCCTTCATGTTAAAATAAAAGATGATAAATAAAAGAAACACAAGTGAAGTACCAAATGTTCTTTATTACAAGAAACGTAAAAATTGGGTTTATGAGAAAATGATAAATAGAAAAAAAATTATAAAGTATTTTAGAACAAAAGATCAAGCAATTGAGTATAAAAAACTATATGAAAAAAGTATATATAAAGCTTCAATTTCCTTCATTTTAAATTAAATTTCCTTCAGTAAATAAATCTTCAAAACAATATTATTTTATCTATCATTATTATATTATTCAAAATGAGTGTTGTATTTTCTTCTGAAGAAGAAATCAGTAAAATGTCTAAAGAAGATCGAAGATGGTATTGAAAACAAAAAAAATTCAGGAATATAATTTAAGCAAAAATAGAATTATAAGATATTTAGCACGAAACAGACCTTTATTAGATAAAAAATTATCTATTAACGATAAATATCTGTATAGAAATTTTCTTGAAGTTATCAGAAAAATAATATTACAAATAGAAAGATCTCATAAGGATGAAGGTTATGATTATTTTTATTCAAGAAAAGATAAATTGTATCTGATGTATAAGATGTTTAAAAAAGAAATCCTTAAAGATAAAAATAAAAAAGTGATAGAACTTTGCTTAAAATATGGGAAATATAATTTTAAACCTTTCTTGTATCAAGAAAAAAGAAGATTATTATTTCTACTATATCAACTTCAACTATATTTTCAAAATATTTATAAACAATTAAACAAAGAAGAACCAAAAAAACCAGAAAAATTAATATTAGATAAAACTTTGAATGAAGATATAAGTAAAAAAAAATTGTCTAAATATACTAAAAAAAATTATACAAAAACTTTAGAAAAAATCAGAATATCATTCATTCCATTATGGTATACGAGTAGAGTTATGATTAAAGATCGTGAATTATATACTGTTGTTCAAAGAGATTTGTTACATATTGTAGCTATATGTTATAAAAACAAGATGAAAGAAACAAATCATGTGTTAGTAAAATATAAACAAATGTTTCTAGATATCGAAACATCTAAAGATAAAAACAAGAATGTAATAGATCTAGCTTTAAGATTATCATCATATTTTTTCAATCCTATTCATTACAAACATAGACCAAATCTAATATATCCTTTGTTAAAATTAGATTTCATATTAAAAGAGATAGTATATCAATATAAAAAAGAAAATAATGATCATAGAAATTTACCAGAATTATCATATTTTAGATCAGAATTTATAAAGTTTTAATAAATTATTTTTTTAATTTACTTGTTATATTAATAAGATTTTTTTTTTTATTTTATTATTAAAGTGGCTTCCTTTGCCGATTAGATTTTATTAGTTTGTTATTACGGAACTATCACATGGATAATTTCCTAAGGTTTTACAGTTACATGATGAGT